ACCCTGTGTCTCCCTGCACCCTGTGTCTCCCTGCACCCTGTGTCTCGTGGGCTGGTAATACCACCCAGACATGCTGGGTGCTCTTGTTCTCTCTATAGGTAGCAGTCACTCTGGGACATCAAACACAGGTGTATCTGATATGTCGTGCCTTGGTTTCCTCCTAGGTGGCCAGTGTTCCTGGTAAACCTGTACCAATCATGCATGGAACACGGGATCCACCAGTGGCTGGGCACCCTGCCAGTCCTACACTACTGCCTGCAGCTGACCCCTGCCAAGACTGAGCCAGTGAACCACCCAGAGGACATGTGGGCAGCCCTCGAAGGGATCCTCTTTGCAAAGTTTCGGGAAAGCACAGCCAATCTGTAAGTTGAGGCGCTGTTCCTAGAGCAGCACAGCTATGAAAGAACAGCTCTGTCTTTTTGTCGCATTGGGAGTGTGCCCAGTGCTCACAGCTGTGAGGCAGCCCAGCCCCTGAATGGCTACCCTGAAGCTCAGGGTAGAGGGCTCTTTCCAACATTCTCACTCACCCCTGGTTCTTATCAGACGATTAATGTGATTTCTTTGCACTGTGAAACAAAAAAGGCCACAAAGAAAAGTATAAAGCAACCAACAAGCCCAGAGTTACTTGCAGATCCTGGTGTATGTATCTCTGTGTTCTGTCCACATAGGGGTGTCTGGGAGTTTCACATGCTTAAGACAATAATGATGACAAGCAGTGTATTGTTTATTAAGTGGGTGTGGTGGTAGACACCTGAAATCCCAGCATTTTGGGAGGCTGAGACAGGGGAGTTGCAAGTTTGAGCTTAGCCTGGGAGATTTACCAAAAACCCACTTGGAAAATAAAGAATAAAAAGGGCACGGACTATAGCTCAGTACAAAATCCCTGGATTTAAAGAATCTTTATAAAAATCATTCCATAAATGTTTAAAAATATATTTACATATATAGTAGTTATTATTTTACAACCCAGATTTTTCACCTAAAAGTGTTTCACACACTGTGTGTGTGTGTGTGTGTGTGTGTGTGTGTGTGTGTGGTGCTGGGGATGGAACCAGGACTTTCCACACCATAGACAAGTGTGCTCCCAGGGAGCTATAGGTTCCAGCCCCTGTGAGCCACCTAATGTCAGTGCGTGCACATCCACAATGTCAGGGTAATGACACCCTCAAGTTCCACTCGAAGAATATGCCACCATTTGTTTAGACAGTTTTCTGTTGTTGGCATTTGGGTCATTTCTGTAATTTCCCCTGACCCTGGGGATTGAACCCAGGGCTTTCTCGGACTTTTTTTTACTTTTTATTTCAAGACAGGGTCTCACGAAGTTGCTCAGGCCTGCCTCAACCTCCCAAGCTGCTGGGATTATAGACATGTGCTAGCACTCCTGGCTATGCGAGGTGGTTTGGTAAACAGCCTCCTGTTTCCTGTCCAGTTGTTTTCTTGACATAGATTCCTACAAGTAGAACTGCTGAGTCAAAGACTTTGCTTGTTATAGGTCACTATATCTTTTCCTGGTGGGTTTTTTGTTTTGTTTTGTTTTTGTATTTTAGGGAAGGGTCTCCAGGGTGTTCAGGGTCTCACTACTAGATTGGACTCGTAGTGATCCATCTGCCTGTTTACAGCCTCCCAAGACGCTGGGATGCACACCACCATGCCCAGTTTTAGTTGCCCTCTCAGCGTGCTCCTGGGGCAGGGCCAGCACAGCAGGCCCAGGGATCAAACCCCCCTGTGTCTGCTTGCAGGTGCTTTAATCCACGGAGCTATTTGGCCAGCCCCTCCCTGGTGTTATCTTATAGCGGAGGAATAATTGTAATGTGTATGCAAATAGGAGGAACTGCCTCTCATCACAAGAAAGTATTACTAGGAAAAGTACTTGAGAAAACTTAGGTGTCTAGGCTTAGGGCTATTCCCATGGTATATATACCTGTTGTTGTTATTATTATTATTATTATTTTTTTTTATTTATTTATTTATTTTTAAAATTTATTTAGTGTGTGTGTGGCCAGCTCAGCCCACCGGGGGCGGGGCTGGCTGGCATGTGCTGGGGGATTGAACCGCGGTCCCTGTGCTTTGCTAAGCTTGTTCTAAGTAGGTGCTTTAGACCACTGAGCCATCTCACCAGCCCTGTTGTTGTTATTATTATTATTACTATTTGGTGGTGCTGAGGATCAAGCCCAGTACCTTCAGCATGCTAACTAAACATGTGGCCTTCTTAGCTAGACAGTAGCCCCTTAATATTTAGCTATTAAATATGAACATGTTTTAAAATGTTATTATAAATTATTTTAAAAGCATATTTGATACATTTATTTATTTATAGACAGGATCTTGCTGTACAGTTCAGGCTGGCCTTGAACTCACTATTATGCCCAGGCTGGCTTCAAGAACTCATGACAATCCTCCTGCCTCAGCCTCCAGAGTACTGGGATTATATAGGCATGTGATGCCACGCCTGACTTAGTATTGTTTTTTAGATCATTTTTTTCACTCTGATGTTTTACTGAAGCAGTTCAGACTTCACTGGAGAAGGGGATTTGGGGCAACGTGGTTGTGTTATCCAGACAGTAGTGGGTCATTTGGCCCTGTTCAGAGTACAGAGTACTGAGCAGCTTTTCAAAGGCTGATGTTCCAGGTTAATCCCTCTGTGTGGCAAGGTTTTGGGGAAAACTCGTGCAGTTCAGGGCTGGCCTGTGAGTGACCTCACTGTGGGCCGCGTGCATTTCATGAGCACAGCTCCATTGTCTCTAATCACGGTTTCCTCTTGTGGGGAGCCTGCGGGACACCCCCAGGGTGGGTTACCAGTGAGGCCTCCATAAGAATTCTACATGTCTGAAAATCTGTGACAGGACATACAGCACTCACCTAGAAGAAAGTACATTTTAGGCTCTAAAGTGTACCTGGAACTGGACACGGTAGCGCATGTCCATGATGCCACTGTTCAAGAGGCTGAGGCAGGAGGATCAAATGTTCCTGCTTGCCTTCGTGAGACCCTAAGCTGGAGTTCATCAGAAGGGGCAAGGGATGTAGCTCAGTGGCAGAGGAAGCTTAGTGACAGAGCACTTTGTTAGCACATGCAAGGCCCTGGGTCCAAACTCTAGACCTACAAAAGTATAGTGCCCACCCACTCCTCTAGGATGCCCTCATGGCCCCCAGCTAGAAGGCCTGCACCCTGGTAGTTGAAGTAAAATCATTGGTATTTTTCAGAAAACCACCTACTTTTCCTTGGAGTATAATTTTTATAAAATATTGAGTAGTAGATTTATAGAACAAAAATAAGGATGACAAGTTAACCTTTGTGAGCAAAACAGACTACTAAGGTAATACTTTTGGCTTTGCAGTGGAATTTCTCTTGCGCACACACAAAGGTGTGTGGATTTCTGCATTTAAAGAGCTGCCTCCGTGGGTTCGGGGCCCGTGGTCCCTGGCCTGGCCAGCTGGCCAGCCTGCAGAGGTGCTAAAAGTGAAATAGCGAGTGCAGGGAACTGGGCTAGAATAGCTCAGGTCTCACGGTGTGGTGAGCGGTGCCCCTGGGGCCTCGGGTGAGACAGAGGACAGTGAGGGGTGACCATGGAGCCTGGTGTCCTGCAGTGTGACAAGACTGTGCCTGTCCTTCAGCCAAAGCAGCCAGGAACAGAACAGAAAGAGGCTCTGCTGAAGCCCCAGTGCCTCATCCTGCCGGAGGAGGAAGGGAGTAGTCACTCTGGTCATTCTAGGTCCCATCTTCTGCCAAGGGGCCATTGCGGTCTCCCTTTGTCCAGAGAATGCAGGGCAGTGCCAAGTGGAACCTCACCAAAGCCATGACCTTGCTCCCTTTGTCTTCACTGCTGCCTGCACTTCTGACTGAAGAGGAGGTTGCCCAGCTGTAGGGATCTGTTGCTCCCACTGCGATCAGTTCTACCCCACGAGAAACAGCAGCAGGAATGAGAAAGAGAGACGAGGACAAAAGCTGGGCTAGGTGGTCGCTGGTCTGCCTGATTGATGGACAAGACTAACGCCATGCACAACAAAACGGTCCTTTATTTATACTTGTGCAAAGTTAGTAACCTGTGACACAAGGTTGCCTAGTGACTAATAGCTGACCTTAACCAGACAGGATGTTTATCTCAGGACTGAGGTAGCTTGTTTGCTTTAGGTACTGAGGCCTAGTCCCACCTACACACTTGTGATCCATTTCCTAGCTTCCATCGCTCCCAACACGGAGCAGTGCAGAGAGAAAAAGGTCAAGATAATCCTGGGCTGTCAGCAGCCCAGGAGTGGGTCATTTTTAAGCAGCATGTTTAGAATAACTGAGCTTGGACCAGGGATATAGCTCAGTGGCACAAACACCTGCCTAGGAAGTACAGAGTCGATTCCTGGTACACTCTCCAAAATAACTGATCTGTCAAGATGGTACATGCTTATAGTCCCTGCATTCTGGACGGCTGAGGCAGGAGGATCTCAAGTTCAGATTCAGTCCGGGCACCTTAGCAACTTAGTAAGAAACTGTCTTACCATATTAAAAAATAAAATAAAATAAAATAAGACCTGGGATGTAGCTCAATGTGAGGCTCTAGCACAAAATAAAAAATTAATAAGGTAAATGATCTAGAAGAAAAAGGGGACAATATGCAAGAATGGATGGAAAACCTCAGAAGATGGGGCCGGGGAGATAGCTCACTAGAATAAGTGCTTGCCTGGCAAGTGTAAGGTCCTGAGTTCAATCCCTGGTTACACACACACACACACACACACACACACACACACACAAAACTCAGAAGAGAGGTGTAAACAAATATGTATGTTTATATTTATAGTAAGTCCCTGTTTTATGAACATTTGAATGACAAACTTTCCCAGGTGTACTGTGTAAGACTCATTTTTTCGCCTTCTAAGTCAGACTTACAAACAACTCCTCTGAAATGGAGCTCATTTCTAAATAGGGGACTTACTTTATTTTAAGAAGCTAAGTCAAAATGTCACAAAATGTCATAAATGTAAGATAGGATATCAGAGATGAAGAACATTTTTGATGGACTTATTGGCAGACCGGACTAGTAAAGTTGAGGACCAGTCAACAGAAATGATCAAACTCAACCATAGAAGGAAAACAGGAAAAAAAAAAAAAAAAAAAAAAAAAAAAAACCAGCAGAACAGAAAATATCAGAAATGTGTGGGATGATTTTAATGGTGCTGGTGGTTTTTTGAGAAGTTTCTTACTACATAGCCCAGACTGACTTCAAACTCTCCATCCTCCTGCCTCAGCCTCCAGAGTGCCTGATTATAGGCAGAGCCACACCCAGCTTCAAATTGTACAACACATTTGAGTGAAAAGACAAAGGAAAAGAGAAGGCCACAAGAAATATGTTTAGGGTTTATGCTGAGAATTTCCATAATTGATAATGACATCAACCTGGCCGTTACAAGGTACATGTACCAAATGAGGTACATGCCTAGTGGGACAAATGCAAGACCCACGTTTGTGTATGCACCATGGTTATAGCTAGTAGAGACCCAAAGCAAAAAGAGAAGTAGGCCGAGGCGGGGGCGGAGAACACTTTGACAGTGCAGTGCTGGCCTTCTGGTCAGAAGCTGTGGAGGCGACAATACAGCAGGCTAGCTTTGAAGTCCTCAATTTTAAAGAAACAACAAAACTATCTATTTAAGCTGCGCATGATGGTGTACACTTGTAATCCCAGCACTCAGGAGGCTGAGGCAGGAGGATTGCCATGAGTTCAAAGCCAGCCTGGGATACATAGGGAACTCAAGGCCTGCCTGAACTACTTAACAAACAACAACAAAATACCCTGTCGATTTTGGATTGCATGTTCAACAACAACAGCAAAAAGCATCCTTCACGCTGAAGGAATATAAAGATCTTTCCAAGTGAAAGTTGAAAAAATTCAACTCCAGCAGACTTTGACCACAAGGAATGCTGTATGAAGTTCTGGGATGGAACTGGGGCCGCAGCACGTGTACTAGAATGGTGCTCCCACCGGGGTGCATCCCAGCCTACACCCCATGCTCTCCACACCATGCAGGAATCAGGCAGCACCGCAGGAAGGACCCAAAGAGCTTAAGAAAGGAGACAGGTCAGAAATATACACAGGAGCCTTATAAAATAGGTCTTATTGACCTATTTTTAGCCACTTTAAATCTTGTTAAAGGGCTCCTGACTATGTCAAGTAAAAACAATTACAAAGCAGCCTGGTCAGTGTGACTCTACTATATAACCATAAAGCAGAATACGTGCAGAGAACACAAAAGTCCTCAGAAGATTACTTGAAGTCTTCTTTTTTTCTCTGAAATAATAGGATATTTTTAAAGATATAAGGGCTGGCCAAATAGCTCTGTGGATTAAAGTGCCTGCAAGCAGGCACAGGGGCCAGGGGTTTGATCCCCAGGCCTGCTGTGCTGGCCCCGCCCCCGGTGTGCTCTGAGATGGCAATTGAGATTGGGTGTGGTGGTGTGTCTGCAATCCCAGGGATTGGGAGGCTGTAAACAGGCGGATCACTATGAGTCTGATCTAGTAGCGAGACCCTGAACACCCTGTAGACCCTGCCCTAAAATACAAAAAGAAAAAGGAAGAAAGAGGGCTAGGGATATAGCTTAGTAGCATAAGCAACTACCTAGCAAGTGCAAGGTCCTGAGTTTGATTCCTGACTAGAAAACAAAACAAAATCCAGCAATTTCATTTCTGCAGATATAACCCCAAGAGGCAAATGAAAGGGCTTGAAGAGGTATCTGCACCTCCATGGATCATAGCAGCATTATTCACAATTGCCAAAAGCTAAAAGCAACACAGGTGTCAACAAAATAACACAACACATCCATTTCCTAGAGAGACATAAAAGCAACATCTGCCTGCAAACCGAGAGGGGCACAGACTAAAGAACATCTTGGACAGGTCTCAGGTGTGAGGCCTTGTTAGGGCTCATGTGCAGGAGTGGACAACAGAAGTACCACCAAAGTCTCCACCCGCTGTGCTAGGTTGCTGGTTTTCCAGGATACTGATTTTAAAAAGGATCAAAAGAAGGAAGACTGGGGCCAGGGAGATGACTCAAGTGGACTAAGCACTTCCTTCCCTGGCAAGTGCAAGGGCTGGAGTTCAATCCCTGGTTCCTCAAAAAAAAAGAAGGAATCGAGTGCTGGGGGCCTGCCCCAGTCTTACCAGGAAATTCTGTCTTACCCAGTACCATCTAGAGCCACAGAGGGTCTCTGCACCTGGTGGTGGCTGCCGCCAGGATTGAGTCCTCTAGCCAGGCTGGGAGGGTGGTCCAGCTCCAGCACCCCATCAGAGCAGCGGTGCTCAGCTGTGGAAGGAGGGGAGATCTGGCACACGCTGCAACTTGGACATACACGGAGGACATTCTTTGAAGGGAACAAAACAGACGCTGAAAGACACATACTCTGTGATTGCACTTACGTGAGGTCCCTGGAGTCATCAAATTCATAGAAATTGAAAGTAGAAAGGGCACTGGCAGGCGGGATCAGGGGAAACAGTGCTTAAAGAGGCGGTGTTCTGGTGCTTGCGTAAGTGTGAACAGGGTAACACTGAAGTAGACCTTCAAATGGCAGATTTTTGCTTCTGTTTACCACAGTTTTAAAAATTAACTTTTAAGAAAAAAAAACCCCACTACCTATTGTAAATGAGAGGGCCTGATTTCTCACCTGTGGTACTGCTGAGTTGTGGGACTGGATCACTCCATATGTAAAGACTATTTTGGGGACTAGGGAGATAGCTCCGTAGAATAAGCACTTGCCTGGCAAGTGCAGGGTCCTGAATTCAATCCTCAGTACCTCCCCACCAAAAAAAAAGTATTCTGGGTATGGGAAGGTGTGTGAATATTTGCTGTGTGTTGGTTGGTTTGGGTTTTTGTTTTTTGACACAGATTCTTGCGAGGAGGTTTAGGCTGGCCTTGAGCTTACTGTGTAGGCCTTTGTCACCTCAATTTACAGCAGTCTTCCTGCTTCAGCTTCCCACATGCTGGGATTACAGGCATGTGCCACCATGCCTGGCTGGGAAAATGGTACCCTGGTCCCCACCTACAAGAAGCTGCCAGGCTGGCCACCCTTGCCTAGGTGTTAGAATCACATATGTCTCTAAGTGTTGCCTGGGATCTCCTGGGTGGAGGCCAGGGGATGGACACACACACACACACACACACACACACACAACTTCTGCTCTTGAGCATGAAGGAGGGCTCTTCAAGAACAAAATTGAAAAATAAAAGATAAAGTGGAAGCTGAGAAATACACATTTCGCCAGTTGAAGGGGCAGAGTAGAGTCACAGAGGATGAGAGACAAAGTGTAGAGAAAATGTGTGTCACACCCAGCGGGGTGGAATGAAAGCTAAAACTACAAGTGATAAGAGGTACCACGGGTGACTCCAAAACTTGGAGGTGGGGTGCTCCTCCCCAATGGCAGACAACTGTGGCTAAGTAGAAACCCTTCTGAACAGACCCACCAGCTGGCACCCTTGGACCCCTCCACCCAACACCTGTAGGACACACACCCCCTCTCAGATCCAGGAGGGGCTGGCCAAGAGTGCCTGTTCTGGACTGGGCAACTCTGCACGCTGAAGAGTGTTAAAGCACATTGAGCAGAGTGGATGCCCGTAATCTCACTATTCTAGAAGGCAGAGGCAGAAGGATCATAAGTTGGAGCCCAGCCTGGGCCTGTTAGCCACTTAGAAGATACCTTGTCTCAAAATAAAAAGTAGAAGAGGTTAGTGATGTAGCTCAATGCAAAGGCTCTGGGTTCAAATCCCAGTGCTACAACAAAACAAAAAATATTATATTGCTGGGCATGTTCCTTAACTACAGGTGAGCAAAAGGGTTTAAAACATCTGTAAAATCAATAAACATTTGGAAATTTAATAGCATACTTCTAAGCGAGCCAATGTTCAGATAAGAAAACTTCCTTAGAGAAGACTTTGGTTTTTGTAGAAGAAACTTCCAGATTTCATCATCCTGCCCCAATCCTGTAGGAGTGAGCTTCAGAATTTTAGCTAAAATAGTGAGCTCAGTTGAGTTCTTATTCTTCTCTACTATATGAGCCTTTTGAAATTAAAGCCAATTCAAAACCATTTAGTTATGTAAGTGTGTGTTTTAAATATCCATTAAAGATGTATGGCCACCTAGAAGAAATTGAACTGTTAACATTAGACGCAAATGACAATGTGGGTGCTAGCGATCTGTACTTCAGGTAACAGTGACCCTTAAGTTAAGGGCGGGGATGTGGCTCCGTGGTAGAGCACTTACCTAGTGTGCATCAGGACTTGGGGTTCTATCCCAAGCACACACACACACACAAAAAAAAAATTGTGTGGAGCCCTTAGTACATAGCGAACCTGTGTGGATGTTTTTCGTAACCTCTGTTACTTCTTGCTTTGTTGATTTTCTACTTGTCAACTTTTTGGGTCTCCAGTACAGAGCTGCAGAATCAGCATTGTTTAAAGATCTTCGCTGAGCTCACCCGCTTGGTTTAACCCAGGACACTCACAAATTCATCAAAAGACCCAGCTCCTGGTGAATTGTTTCTTTTTTGTATGCAGTGCTGGGGAACAAACCCATTGCCTCATGCATGGCTAAGCAAGCTCTCTACCACCGAGCTACACCTCGGCCTCTATCCTCCTTTTTTTAAGTTCTGGTAAAACATCCATAATTTAGTATGTGAAGCTCCTTGAAGTGTATAGTTTGTGGCATTAAGCACATCATGTGGCTGTGTGGCCATCCCCACCCTCCATTGCCCGAACTCATTGTCCACTCATGTTGAAATTCTGTCCCCGAGCCACATGAGCCCCACCATCTTACATCCTGCTGCTGTGAGTGCTGTCCATCGGGCAGTCCCGTGGTGCGTGTCCTTCTGTGGTAGCTGCCCCCACTCCACATAGCACCCTCAAGGGTCTCCATCTTAGCAAATCCATAAGCTGCTCTTGTGTCTGTTTCATCCCCACGTGCCATTGAAATCATGTCTGAAGTCTGAACGTTTTCGACTCTCGACTTTATGCTCCTTTAATCTGGGTTTGCTTTGTGATCTCAACAAGGCATTTCTCTCTGTTGCTGTTTTTCTTTTCTCAGGGATCAGTTGCTTCAGTTTGTGAATAAAAACAAGCATTTGCTACATGTGGACAAGTACCTCTTCCGGTCCTGGTTTAGTTTGCTCCCGCTGGGAGCCCTGGTGGAATACATGGACAAGACCACCGAGTTCCTGAACAATGCGCCTGCTTGTGTTTTGGACTGTTTCATCGGGATTCACTATCGGCTGGCAGAACTAAAGATTTCTCCCCAAAGTGTGGTGGTGGGTGAACATCTGGGGCTGGTGGTTCTTTCCTGCAGGACTGACTGGGCAGAGACAGCACTAAGAAATAACAGAACCAGAAAGGGTCATTATATTTTGAGGTCAAAAATTTGACTTCTCTAATTTTTTAATTTTTTTTTTTTTTTTTGTCGTCTCATCAAATACAACTGAAAGTAACGGCCCTTTGTGTTACTCACACCTGTGGGAGGCAGAGTTGACAGGCCTTGTGCAGTGTCTGGCTTCCTAGTTGCTGTCTCCTTTTATGAACTTTGTGATGTAAAAAATGGTATAGGGCTGGTGAGATAACTCAGCCAACTAAGTACCTGCTTAGGCAAGCACAGGGACTGGGGCTCGATCCCCAGTAACACATGGCATGCCAGCCCCACCCCCGGGCTGCTGAGCCAGACCCTAAGACCAAGACCAGATGTGGTGACACATACCTGTAACCCCAGTGCTAGGGAGGCTGAAAACAGGAGGATCACTACGAGTCCGAGCTGCGTAGTAAGACCCTGTACCAAATACATAAAATAATAATAATATGACATAAGAAAATGGTATAATCTTAAATCCTGAATTTTATTGGTGAGTCAGGAGGGTAATGCTTCCGTAGGAAGAAGAAAGTGATTGTTACACTATTCAGATACATCTAGGCTTTTTCTCAGCTTTGCTTCTCCCAAGAGAGCATACGTTAGTTAATCTGTCATTTTCCTTCTCTTCATGATCCTAGGATGTTGAGAAAATTTTTAAGAAGCTGCTGCAGCTCGTGGACACTTACCATGGCGTGTAAGTAGAAAAGCCAAGTCCGATCTTAGCCCCACGTTGTACCTGCTGCCCCTGCTGAGCGGTAGCCTCACACTGCTGTCAGGGCGGGAGGGTCACAAACCAGTGCACACGCCCACTTCTCTTTACAAGTAACTAATCTAATCATTTAATTGTTTAACAAGGAAGTAATAGCAGCTCCTGAGATTTGATTTGATTTTTGTATTTCAGGGAAGGGTCTACAGGGTCTCACTACTAGATTGGACTTGTAGTGATTCGCCTGTTTACAGCCTCCCAAGAGCTGGGATTATAGGTGTGCGCCACCATGCCCAGTCTCAATTGCCATCTCAGTGTGCCCTGGGTGCGGGGCTGGCATGGCAGGCCTGGGATCGAACCCCGGGCCCCTGCACTTGCTTGCAGGTACCTTAATCCACTGAGCTATTTGGCCAGCTCTAGCTCCTGACATTTTGTTTCCATTTGGTCTTTTCTTCCTATGTGGTTTTCATTTATTTTTATTTACTGATTTATTTTATTTTATTTGGTAGGGGTATTTGAATCCAGGGCCTTTACATTGAGCTATATCCTCAGCCTTTTAAAAAGTGTTTTAGCCAGGCATGGTGGCACACACCTATAATCCTAGCACTCAGAAGGCAGAGGCAGAAGGATCATTAGGAGTTCAAGGCCAGCCTGGGCTACATAGTCCAGGCTACCTGACCTACATAGTGGGACCCTATCTCCAAAAAAAAAAAAAAATCAATAAATTAAAAAAATGTATATTTAACTTTTGAGATGAGGTCTCAATAACTTTTGAAGTTGTCCAGATGAAGCTCAGGTTTGTGCTGGGATTATAGTAGAGTCTTTCTTTTTTTAACATTTAGTTTTTATATGTCTTTTTCAAATCAGAGCCTTTAAAATGAAAACTTCAGGTGGCTTTGATAATTATCTGAAGTCACTTATCCTGTCCCTTTGCGTGCCATCACTGCTGGGAGGGACAGAATACAGAACAGAGCCGTGTGCATGAGCGTCAAAGTTTTGAGGATTTGTGCCCCCTCCCTGCCCAGGCTTCTGGCGTGTGTAAAGTTCAGGTGAACACTCCGGGGCTCTGTGCACATCACCACCTTTGGGACTTTGTTGAACTACCTCAGTGGCTGCTGAGGTACTGCCATCATCCTCCCATGAATTTCTGTCAGAAAACAAGAAATCAGGTCCATGAGGAGTTAGATGAAACTCCGTATGCACCTTGTGTTCTTTTTCAGGTGTTTCTTGCTCTCAGCCCTCTCTGCGTAGAAGCAAAGCTCATTTTCAAATAGACGTAATATTTTCGTAATGAGTAACATATATCCCTGGCTCTTTTTCAAAATAAGGGGTTGTGTTTGTAGGTGACTTAACTCACTTTTGTTAGAATAGCTCATGCCACAAAGACAACTTGGTTCCCTTTTGCTCTTGAGTCAGAAGTTCAGGAGGATTGAAATTCTCCAGGCATGGGCTTGGACAGAGTGGATCAGTGCCTTTCTCGCAGGTCTTTCAAAGGGAAGGACCTGGGCATCGCTAGTGGGTGTTGTTTTCCCATTTCTTCTGGGTGACAGTGGTGATCTCTCTCGACTTTGGGTAGGATTCTGGAGCAGACCCTGGTGCAGTGTTACCTGCCTTTGTCCCTCAAACTGCATGAAGCTGTCTGCAGCAACATCGGAGACCACAAGTTCTATGAGATCCCCGCCTTGTCTGCAGAACTCATCTGCAGAATTATTAGACTTGAGCCACTACAGGTAAATGGAATTAGTACCTCTAATATTGCACTCAGGGGAGGCGTGGAGTTTCAGATGGCCTCCATTTAAAAGGAAAATACACCAGTTTTCCAGCTGGCTGGAGTGAAGCAGAGGGGCTGATCCAGCTATGGATATGCATTGAGTACCTGCTTGATATTAAGCTCTGTTCTGTGCGTCGAGAATGTTCCAGCAGCTGTTGTATTAAGTCCCCCTCCATGGTTTTTGTGGGAGGGAGGGAATTGATATCTAGCACCTAAGATGTCCCTGGATAAACTATAGAGCTGATGGAGGCAGCTTCACCGCCAGATAAGGGCTTGCTGATAAGGTGGCCTTTCTTTTTCGCTCCCATTTTTTTCGTTCACAGAAAATGGAAGAATCAGATTTCCCCAAAACACACATGGTCTTTCTCCCCTGGAGCTCTTTTATTCATGTTGCCATACAGGACAATAGCTGAGTCTGCATGCTACATGCCCAGCTCCGTGCCCTGTGTCCCTGAGTCTTTACCACTTTCTCATCTCTGGGACAGAACACTAACAGCTGCAGCTTAGAGGAGGCGAGCTTTCTTTCAGCTCATGGTTTCAGTCTGCGGTCGGCTGGCTCTGAGGCAGGCAGAAACAGGACAGCAGAGGTAATAGAGGAGGGAAGGTCACTCATACATGGCCACAAGAAAGCAGAGCAAGAAGAGAAGAGTACAGAAGGAAGAGTCCTAGAACACACTCTTCCCGGTCTCATCCCTACACCCCAATAGCACATGTGGCTCTGAACTCTGCTGGGGATGAACCCACTGATGCATACTGTGGCCCCGTGATTCTGTCACCTTCCAAAGCCCATGTCCAAAGACAGGAGACTCCTGGGTGACATTCTAGTCCTAAACTGGGGTAGTCCCAGTCTCTCCGGGGCTTTCACCCTCCATGCCCCAATAGGAACCATGTTTTGCTGTCCCCCTGTAGGTCAGTTGTGGCTTCTCTGAGCATCACACTGAGTGCCTTGCTTCCTGCTCTCTCCCCTGTGCCTTGGACCCATTCTTGGGGCTCGTTTTGCATGGCTGTGACGTCACCCATCTGAGTACTCTTGAGTGTTCTTTAAAAGTGACAGAAGGGCTGGGGAGATAGCTCAGAAGAATAAGCGCTTGCCTGGCAAGTGCAAGGTCCTGAGTTCAATCCCTGGTACCACCAAAAAATAAAATAAAATAAAAGTGACAGAGGATTTTATACTGAGCCTGTTTCTCAACATTTTTATAAGTCAAAACTTTAACTTGAGTGGAAAGAGATAATTTAATTGTTTGACCTTATCATTTTCAATTTTTCTTCAAGATCTAACAGAAAACCTTTTAGATTTAAATTTATTGGTAAAGGAAGCACTCCTGAGTAAACACTATATGCATGGTAGGCAGATTTCAGTTTCCAAAATAAATTAGGTTTAAGAAGTATAGCAGTTATACAGGATTTATTTTTCTATGGAAAATTCTGTCTTTGCTATTGGTTGAGTTCTTGGGTTAGTCACATCTATAGTTGCTTAGAAAGAGTACTCCCTATGCCATGAAAACAGGAAATCCTTGCATTACTGAAATTGAAAGTAACAGACTGGCTGTGACAAGTGTCTGGCTTTTGGTTGGGTGGTGGACTGATCCGAGGCAGGTGGAGAAAAGCCACAGTTGGGTTCGCTGAGTTCAGCCTCAAGTGCTTCCTTCAGGCTGCTGCTTTTCTTTCTCTTTCTTTCTTTTTCAGATTGAACCCAAGTCTTTGAACCCAAGGCCTTTCTACCCAGCTACATCCCCAGCTATTTTCATTTGTTATTTTGAGAAGGGTCTCACTTAATTGCCGGTGCTGGGCTCAACCTTGCAATCCTCTTGCCTCGCAGCCTCCCAGACTGAGATTAGATTAGCATGTGCCACCACGCTCGGCCCACCTGGATTTTTTTTCTCTTTGTTTTTTGTGATGGGAGGTCGAGGGATTGTGCCTGTAATTATGTTGGAGTTCACCACCTTGTCTGGCTTTCAGTTTGCCTCTTGACCCCTTATCCAGCCCCTGTGCTGGTTGCCACAGACCCCAGACTTGTGCTGCAAGTGGTTGGTATCATCCTCCCAGTTAAAGTGTGCTTGGGCTGCTTTGTCATGTGGATTGCATGGCTGGGGCTTTGCAAGCTCTGGGTTTCAAGGCACAATCTTCATCCGGTCTGGAGGAGATAGGGTCCTCTTCCTGAAGGACCTCAGAGGACACAGACGCTGCATGCATCTCCTCCCTCATCTTCCCACCACCTTTTGGTGGAGCCCAGGGTTCTAGAGAGAACAGAGTGCTTGTCCAGTGGGCTTTGGACAACGCCTTTGGGCACCAGCTGGAATAAGGAGCTGCCAAGCAGGGCCAGCAACGTCTTCCTTCTCTCCACAGAACATAGAAGGCCCAGGGTTTAAAGACAGCAAGACTGTGTTCCAGGGTGCTCTGACTGCCACTCGAAACTGGCTCAAGAAAGTGTTGAAAAGGAACATGCTGTATGCAGGGATTTATGTCATGTTCTCTTATTCCGAGGAGATTAAGGTAAGCTGCTGAAGGTGCTAGATGCGGTTGTATGCCACTGTGAACCATCACCACCTGTTGGCAGAGCCCCAGCCAGGCCCGTTGTGAGCCTGCCCTCCATGTGCCTCCCAAGAAGAGGGTGTTGCTGCTTATCAAGAGGGCGTCTGTGTGGCCGCCAGACATGACTGAACCCCTGGGCTGTGCTCCCAGCCAAGCAGTAGCAGTGGTGGCAGACATGTCGATGTTGAGGGCGCTGCCCTGAACTGCACTGGTGTCTGTGTTAAAACACGTAAGGTGTCTGTGTTAAGACCGAGGCTTCCCGTTATTTGCCTGGCCTTGGAAAGAAGGCAAATGGGAAAGGTGGATCTGTTTATGGGAAAGCTGAGGGAAACTGTGCTTGCATGACGTTTCTGAGAAGCCAGAAATGGGGAGGGTTCCTCAGGCAGTCACTCCAGAGTGCTGTGAGGAGAGCAGGTTTGTTCTGTAGGGTGGGTGATATCAGGAGCCCCTGGGAGCCTGCAGTGCCCTCCTGGATGGGTACAAAGCATGGAGAGAAGGCAGGAGGTCTGGCCGCCCCATCCTCAGCACAGACTCTGTCCCTGACCTTCTCCTCACCAAAAGAACTTTCCACAAGTCCCGTCGAGGGATGAGTCAGTCGCCACAGAAGGTGCTGTTCTCTCAAAGACTAGAGCTGTGTCTGTCCCTGCGGAAAGCACAGCAAGGAACTCAAGACAGCAGACCTGGGGCGGGGCTGCCTGTTCACCAGTGCAGTCTCCTTCCTTGGCTACCTGGATGAGCAGTGGGCATCTGTTCCCACAATTAACACCAACTTACCTTTGCCTGTTTGTAGCAGCCTTGTGAATAGTGGGGACTACACCTCTATGTCCTCACCTCTCTGCTTGTCCTTTTTTTTTTTTTTTTTTTTTTTTTTGGTACTCGGGACCTTGCACATGCCAGGCAGGCACTTATGCCGCTGAGCTGTCTCCCTGACCCTGCCTGTCTTTTAAATAGGATCATCAGTGACATTTGGTTTTTGCAGGTCTGGCGGCGGCTGGTGGGCATAGACTTCCCTGGGGCACATGGCTGGAAACAGTCGCTGCTGGGGGACATGGAAGGAAGGCTGAAGCAAGTACGGGACATCAGGGATGCTCTTCTTGGGGGTGGCTAAAGGGACATCAGGGAGACCAGCACTTCAGAAGGACCAGTGGGTGTGAACGGAACATCAGGATGGCCCGTCTGGTTGTGTGGGAAGTAGCATAAGCCGTGGCTTTGCCTTTCTTTTTCTGATCTGACCTTCAGTTTGACCACAGAAAAGGTTTCCAAGTTCTAGTGTGCTCTCCCTGAGAGCAATAGAAGAGGCTTACACATATACAGGGCAAGGTCCTCCCCCAGGCACGTGCTCCAAGCTCTGTGGGTGACAGAAGCCTTAGTAACACAGGGTGACCGTGGAGAGAACATAAAAAGCACTCTTCACTTCGAATGCAGACCTCTGGCCCCAGGAAAGTGGGTTCTTATGGGATATGAACCAATGTACCTGTCAAACAGATCTTAATGGAAGCAAAGGAAAAAAATAAATTCTTTTTCACAATGTACCTGTTTTCTAAGCTGCTGTTTTTGCAGAGCAAGTGAAAAGATACTTGGGGAGCCGGGGAGATGGCTCAGTGGAATAAGCGCTTCCCTGGCAAGCGCAAGGGCCTAAGTTCAATCCCCGGTTCTGCCAAAAAGAAAAGAAAAGATACTTGGTTTCCTCTTTGCCCCTGTGATGATGGGAAGCAGGGAGGGTGTGCTTAGTGTGAGATGAGGAGGTCATACTGACAGGGCCTGGCAAGGAGGTGAGAATAATGGGTTGCTCTACCCGGTGGTGCCTCAGGGCAGTCTTCTGACTCTTACACACTTCCATGTCTGCAGGCACACCCTCGCCTCCAGATCGCTGCCTTCTGCAGCACTCAGTGGGATGCCACCAGCCCCAGTGACAGTGTGGCCAGAAGCTTCCAGAATTGTGTCTTTGAAGCTGTGAGCTCCACTTGCCAGGTGACACATCTCTCCTGCTTGGGATCCCTGGAGCCAAAGACTGTCAGTGCTTGCTAGTTCTAACAGCCTGGGCTGAACAGTGGCTGGGTCCTGAGTGTCCCCCTTCCTGCCTGGGGTGGTATCACTGAAACCCACTGCCCTCTCCCCACTTCCCACAGCCGAAGCTGCCTGTGCTGGGCGAGGCCACACCCACTGACGTGTAGGCTGCCTCACAAGAGCCTATGAGAGCCTATTGTGAGAAATGCAGCTCACTGGCTTCCTCCTCTACTGAGGCTTGCCTGGCAGGCATGCACAGAAAGACTCCAAAAGGTTGACTGAACATTTGTGGAAGGAAAACAAATGAAACCATAAAGTTCATCTCAGGCTGGGATGTAGCTGGGTGGTAAAGCACTCCTCCCGCCCCTCCATCCACCTGTCCCCCATTCTGCGAAACAAAAACAACAAAGATGCTATCAATCCACATTGGGCTTTTTTGTTTTGGCAAAGTGGAAAGAGATTGTCCCTCACTGGTTGGCAGGAGCAGTCTCCTCAGAACACCACACATCCAGGCTCCCTACTAACCCTAGCACCCCTGCTCCTGTTTCTAATGTAGGCCTTAGCATCCCAGCTGGCCAGCAAGTAGTTCCAGAAGTACAAGTTATCATCTTCCAGGGACCAGAGGCTTCTAATCTTCATCACTAGCTAGTAACTTTACAAGGCTTTCATTTCTAGTTTTACTTAATCTATTATCCATCCACGGTTACAATTCAGTGGGCTTGGGTTATTCACAGAATTGTATAGCCACCATCACAGACAGTTTTAAGCCATTTTCCTCACCACAGAAACCCCATCCTCCTGCCTTAGCTGTCGCCTCCCACCCCTCTATCCACCTGTCCCCCATCCTAGCCAATAACCAGTCTAGCTCTGATCTCTGTAATAGATTTCCCTACTCACCATCACAGGAGTGAAATTACACAGTGTGAGTAAGTTATATAAATACCATATTGTATAGAGTTGTTGTTCCCTTAGTCCACTGATGGATATCTTGGTTGTTTCCAGCTTCATAAATACACTAGTGCAAGCATTCACATACAGTTCTGTGGGCATGTCTTTCCATTTCTCTTGGTGAAATTCCATACCTAGCTGTGGAATGGCTGGTTCAGATGGTTCCTCTGTTAAATTCTTTGGAGTTCAACTTCCAACACAGCTGGAGCTTTCATATTCTAGCCAACATCATAGGGGGTTTCCAGCGTCTCCACATTGCCACTGATTGTACTATTAAGCTTGATGATTTTAGCTCTCCTGGTGGGTATGAAGGGAGATCTCACTGTGGTTTTGATTCTGTGATGAGTAATAATATAATAGTAATAATTACTACTTTTATTAATACTATTACTTTTCATATGTTTTTTGACTATTTCTATGTCTCCTTCGGAGAAAGAGCTATTCAAATTTTTGGCCTATTTTTAATAAGGTATGTTTTTATTTTTGGTTATAAGAATTCTTTATATATTCCATATGTAAGTTTCTTGTCAGACATATAATCTGCTGATAGTCTCTTCCATCCTATGGATTGTCTTTTCTTGTGGTTTTCGTTGTTTTTAATTTTGATGAGGTCCAGTACATTGGTCGTAGTTTGTGAGTGTGTGTGTGTGTGTGTGTGTGTGTGTGTGTGTTTTGAGAGTTTGTTTGGAGGTTCTCGCAGGGGAGCGCAGCTACTTGTATACCCTTGACTGAGGAATGGTCCTCCTCTATCGGGGGTGGTCGTCCTCTTCGACCGAGCGCGCAGCTGCGGGAGGGACACACATGGATCGTTGAGGGAGGAAGGGGACACCCGCGTAGCCAGCCAGATCAGCCGAATCAACCCTGGTGATCAATGGGGTGACAGAAGTTGCAGCCAGATCGCCCTCACATCCTGTGTGTGTGTTTTGAGACAGAGACTTACTAGTCCAGTCTAGGCTGGCCTTGAACTCACTGTGTAGCTCTCAAGCTGGCCTTAAACTCCCAATCCTCCTTCCTCAGCTTCCTAAATGCTGAGATTATGTGTGTGCCTCTCTATACTCAGATTTGTTGCTTATAGTTCTACTATCAGAGGATCTTTTATTAAATTCTAGGTCATGAAGATTTAAGGCTGTTTTCTACTAAAAGTTGTTTATTGGGGCCAGCGAGATAGCTCAGGGGACTAACACGCCTGCATAGGCAAGCTTAGGCAAGCTTAGGGACCACAATTTGATCCCTGGCACCTCATGCCACACCAGCCCACCCCCAGGGCGCACTGAGCCAGCCACAGAGTCTGGCTGTAGTGGCGCACCCCTGTAATCCCAGCACCGAGGGGGCTGAAAACAGGAGGGTCACTATTAGTCCGTGCTGCATAATGAGACCCTATAACAACCAAATACGTTAAAAAATAAATAAATAAAATAAAAGTTGTTTATTTGTTTTGGTTTCAATGCTAGAGACTGAACCTAGTTTCATGTACATGTTAAGCATGTGGTCTGCCACTGCTCTGCCTCTTTGGAAAGTCTTACAGTTTTAGCTCTTTTCACTCTTTCAGTTTCTTCAAGGAAATGAGGTGTGACTCTTCAAAGGACAGTGTGGAATCTGTGGGTGGGTTTGGGGGAATATTACCATCTTTGCAACATCACATCTAGAAATCCTTGATTCTGAGATGTCTTTTTACTTATTGAGATCTTTAATTTCTTTTGAACAATGTTTTGTTTTTCATCTCTTGTGAAATTTTTTTCAACCTTATCTTGTGGTTGGAACTGGAATTAGTTTCTTAGCTTTAATTTAATTTAATTTATTTTTTTGGTGGAACTGGGGATTGAACTCAGATCCTTGCGTTTGCCAGTCAAGCACTTATCCTACTGTGCCATCTCCCCGGCCCTTAGCTTTAATTTTAGAGTGTTTGTTGTGAGCATATAAAAATACAGTTGCACCTTGTTCTTGCACCCTGCATCCTGACTGGGCTTATTTTGTAGCTCTGGTGGGGGTGTCTGCGTGAGAGAGAACCATATGCAACGTTTTCTACATGAACAATGATGTTGCCTATTCATAGGGATAGTTTCGCTTCTTCTCTTTTAATCAGAATGCCTTTTATTTGTTTGCACCAGTTGATGGCCCTGGTTAGAAATTTTAAGAAAGAAAGAAAGAAATTCCAGTACTGTGATAAAAAGCAATGAAATCGAGCATCCTTGTTCTAATTTCGGGGTGTTGAATCTCATAAAAAAACTTTTCCTGTGTATAACAAAGTGATTGTGTGATTTTTTTGATACAATGTATTATATTAATTTTAATATTAAACCAATTTCCCCCAGAATAAATCCCACTTAGCTATTACATATAATTCATTTCGTGTTTCTGGATTTTATTGTCCTTTTAGGTGGCAAGGCGTGTTTGTTGTAAATTTATCCCTTTTAAAAAATTATTTGCTGAAGCTTTGAAAACTGTTGAACCTAAAGAAGAAAAACATTTTGTTTGTTAGTTAAGAATCAGAAAGGCAATGAAAATGTTTGTGGTTTATGAACAGTCTTTGAAAGAATTATGGTTTAGGAACATAAAACAAATGATGATTGAGGTTTCACTCATATAGATTTTGATATTTTTCATGATAGGAAAGTCTCAGAAAGATGCAATAGCTTGCAGTGAGCCGGGCGGAGGAGGCCTGACATGGGTGTAGTTGGTGTGGGTGTGGGTGTGTGTCTGTTACTCCACATCTCTAGCACTGATCATTTGAGAAACTAGTACAGAGGAAATGGAAGTGCTCTAAAGACTATTGGCTGTTTTACGTGTGTGTGCACACATGTATGTGCGTGCACACGCACATGTGCTAGGAATTGACCCCATGTTCCCAGTCATGCTAGGCACGCACTCTGCTATTGTACTGTATCCCTCACCTCTATTTTAGGTTTCTCTGAGGTCCTACAAAACTACCTTTAGTAGATTTCTGAACTGCTATTGGGTACCTTGGGTACCTTGTTGCCATTACTAAAGGGCAAACTAGTAAGAAAAATTTCTGCACCTTCCTCTTTTTGTTCATTTTCCTGTAGTCTCAGACCAGCATCCTTGAAGGAATCTCCTGCCGTGATTGCCAGAAACTTGGCATCGTGCTGTCTGCTGTGATTACCAAGTCCTGGCCGCGGAGTGGTGGGCAAGCTGTGGATGACCCAGATGAGATTCTGAAATACCTGCTCACGTGGCGAGATGTGGAGCAGCTCTTCAAGTTGTATGGTACAAGGGTTCTGCTGGGAATGTCACAGGGTGGGTTGTCCCCCTAGACTTGGGTGTATGAATGTACCTTACTGCACCTCCTGCAGGAGTTGCTGCTGCACCAGAGGTTCAAAGCCAGACCATTCTTATAGACTGTGTATAGTCTAAGACAAATGTTCTCCTAGCTTAATTTGCCTCTTGGCAGAAACCTCTTCCCTCTCATGGGAACCAGGCAGGAGACAAGTTAGGGTAAGACCTGAACCTCTGGAGTTGGAGCAGAGTTGGGTGGAGTGGTAGCACATCTGGGAACCTCCTACTTGTGCTTCGTGAGAGTCTGGAGAGACCCAGAGATCTTTGTGAATGCCTGTGATATCCACAGGGAGTGGGGAGGAGGGGAGCCCACTGATTTGAATGTATTCATCCTCTCCTCAGGAACTGATGAGAAAATTTTAGCCAGTATTACAGAGGAAGGCCAGAAGTTGATGGCTGTAGCCGACTCTGTGTTTACAAAATTTGCTGGTGACCTCCAGGATGGGACCATTTTAGTTGGACAATTGGAGCTGATCTGGAAGCACAAGACTCAGTTCCTGAGCATCTGGGAATTGAGTAAGTGTTGGGTGGAGACGTGCACTTTGGGCTGCTGAGCATTTATCAGGATAAAACAATCTGGGGCTGGGGAGATAGCTAGGCACTTTAAGCACCTGCCTGGGAAGTGTAAGGGCCCAGTTTTGATCCCTGGTACTGCATGCCTTGCCAGCCCCAGAATCACATGAGCTGTATACAGAGATCCTGTACCAAATAAATAAATGATTTATTTTAAAAAAATCAGTGCCTACATGTATATTTTTGTAGTTCATTTAATCAGTATCTCTTCCCAGAAAGTTGTGAAAGATGATGATGGATGGCTTGGTGCTCTTAGGAAAAAGCGATAAAATAATGCCAAAGCCAGAGTGCCTGCTCTTTTTTTTCATTCCATGCTGCCAAGCCCACAGCTTGACCGAAGCCCCTCTGTCCCTTCTCCTGAGAACAAATGCAAAGGAAGGTGGGAGAATGGGATGCCATGGAAATCAACACATTTGTTGGGGCCTGTTGGGTTACTTGGTTGTTGTTGCAGAGAGAAAATGTCCTTCAGTTCAAGAGAACCAGTGTAATATGAAGGAAGTGCTGGAGTGGCGAAGGAAGGAGCTGGCCTTTCTAAAGAAAGAGACGAGATGTGTGGACAGCCTCCTGAAGATGTGCGGGAAGACAAGACACCTGGTACCAGGTGGTGCTCCCTGCTTCACGTTCCGTGGCCAAGGGGGCGGTGGGTGAGAGCTGGAGGAGGACACAGGAGAAACGAGTCATGGGAGCAGAACTTGTTTTCTAGAAACAGAAACACTTTTTAACCAAAGATCATTGGGAAATCAGCTTCACTGCTTGCCTTCTTTTGCTTTGGTATTTACCTCCATATCTGCAAAGATCCACTTGTTGAGTTCCCCATGGTGGGAGAGGAGCTCTTAGGCCCCTGTTACAGAGGCTGTGTCCTGCGCATGCAGTCTTGCGCTTCCTGGTATTGCCATCTATGGGCCCTGATACATACTGAGCTTAGTCCTTTTTGTTGTTTTGTTGTTCAGTGAGCCCAGGACTTTGTACTGAACTATATCACCAGCCCTTTCTAATTTTTTTCTTCTTAATTTTGCAGCGAGGTCTTAAGTGCTTAGTTGCCCAGGCTGGGCTTAAACTTGTGATCCTCCTGCCTCAGCCTCCCAGGCTGCTGAAATTATAGGTGTATACCACTGTGCCCAGTTTATTATTTTAGGTTTTTTACACAAGCTTTCTGTTTCTGTGTCATTACTGTCCTTGTCTTAGGTCCTTTCTTTTAATCGTCATCCTAATTCAATCCTGTACTGTACCAGTTGTCTGAATTTCCCCCTAAGACTCTCCGCGAAGGACATCTCATGGGCTGTGGGTGGGCACGTGTCCTAGACTCCCTTCCCTGTTCCTGTCTTTACCTCTGTCCAAGTGGGGTGGGTGCAGCGTCCCTGCCTGCTTATTTGCCTCTTGTGTTCAGCAGAGGCTGCAGTAGCCGGACTCTGAGCCCCTACCTGCCTGTGAACATAGCACTTGTCCTCACAACATGGTCAGGCAGGTCCTGACTCCTGAAAGAAAGTCATTTTCCTTGGGAGTGCTGACTGTGTCTCTCCTTATGTCCCTGAAGTACTGCTATTCACAGTCCTTCCTGTGAGACATATTTGCCCTCTCTGGGTAATCTTTGATTGAAATCTTTATCTCTGGTATCTGAAATTCCATAGTTAATGAATCTTGGTACGGAGCTGTTTTCCACCCATAGTTCTGAGCTTAGGAGGGGGTCTTTTAAAGCTAGAAATCTTAAGTTTTGGGTGAACTCGCTTGTATTGTTCTTTCTCCTCTTCCTAGAAATTGTATCAGTCACTATTGGACCTCCTAGAGTAATCACCTGACTTTCATAACCTGTCTCCCTTTTCTGCTTTTCATTTTTTTCAGCTTTCTGAGACCTTCCCTCTGAACTTGATTTTCCAATCTATTAGATTTTTTGTTTCAGCCTTCATATGCATTTTTCTCTTAAAGTTCTTTTTTGTTCTCTGAGCAATCCTCTTTACACCATCCT